CCACGAGAGCAAGCAAGATAATTGCCAGCGGGCCAAAAGCCAACGCCGGAATGCACATGCGAGGAACAAAGTGAACCTCATTAAGCCACACAAAAACGGCACCCAGCGACAGCGGGGCGTCGCACAGCGGCGCCAGCACTCGACAGACCGGGAGACGAAGGGGCATAGCAGGCAACTGCCATCCTGGGAACCCTCACTCACGGAGCACCTGATTGCTCGATGCTGGCATCTCGCACCCTGTGCGTGAGGTAGCCGAAGAGCGCCTGCCTAGTGGGGGGGAAACGCCGCTGGGCAAGGTCACCAGTCGTCGGAGATGCGCCGGGTGGAGCGCATGGGGTGGGCCTTAGGCCGGCGACCCCAGCCATCCAAAGCGCGTGCCCTGGCGGGCAAAACGGGCCCATGTCCGAGAACGGGGCCACAGTGAACCGCGGGCAAGAAACGCAGCCAGTACCGCACGGACAGAGGACCCACGAGTCACTGTGGGATCTATACGCAGTGCTGTGAGAGGTACACCTCGCCCCCAGGAGGTGACGCAAGGGTATTAAGGCCGGAGCCTGTCGCTGCGGTGAAACGAGCCCCTGTCGAAAAGGAACCGCCCCGACGGCGGTGGCCCGCGGGGGCCCCTGCCGGTGTGGAGCGCACCTTGCGAACGCACACGTCGTCGGCCCGCCACAGCAGTCGTCGTGAGAGAGGGGGGGGCGCAGCCGATAGCCGCAAGTCAGTGGAATACAAAGAGGGGGGGAGAGCCATGAGGCGACACGGACCGTCGAGGACCCAACATGGCGCAGTCGGAAGGTGGTCGGCGCAGGGCGCCTGCCTGGCGGGGGGGGCGCCGCCAGGCAAGGCCGCCAGTCGACGGGAGTGAGAGAGATGCACCTCACCCCCGGGAGGTGACACCGGCATTAAGGCCGGGGCCTGCGGCTGCGGTGAAGCGAGCCCCTGCCGCGGGGGAGCCACCTCGTCGGCGGCGGCCCGCGGGCGCAGCTGCCAGTGTTGAGCGCGCCCTGCAGCGAGAGATCGGACACGTCGAATGGCCAGCCACAGCAGTCGTCGCGAGGGAAGAGGGGAGGCGCAGCCGATAGCCGCAGGTCAGTTGAATACAAGGGGGGAGGAGCAGACCCGCCAGCGCGGTCGGCGTCGCTACGGGCCAGGTTTCGGCCCAGGGGCGGCGGGGAGACTGGAAGGTCGCCAGTCACAGAGGCTAGGCAGGGCGTCCACCTGCTGCCACGAAGACGCGCTGGGGGAACGTTGCGGCCGCGCTGCCGCTGTTCCTCGGCGCTCGAGCTCGCGCCATTGCCAGGGAGGGAGGGGCCAGGGCAAGTAGTGTCAGCCAGGGGAGTGTGGCGGTGGGTGGTTGCCTGTTCCTGTTCTCGCCCATGCTCCCATTCCTGCGCTGGCGCCACTTCCACGCCCTCCCCGTGGGCGGCCGGCAGCTCCTGCTCATCGGGCTCTTCCGGCTCCTGCTCCGCATGCTGCTCACGTTCGCTGCTCTGCGACTGTTCTGTTGCTGCCGCTGCTGCCCTGCTGGTGCGTCTGCCCGCTGGGAGCCTGTTGCGGCGGCCGCGGCGGCGCCAGCCGCGGCGGGCCCAAGCGCGGCAGCGCGGGCACGGCGGCCGCGGCGCCGGCCGCGTGGCCCGCGGCCGCAGCGGCGGCCGCCTCCGCCACGGCCGCGGCGGCGGCGGCGGCGGCCGCCGCGGCGCTGGCGGCCGCAAGGCGGCGGCGGCGGCACCGGCCGCCGAGCCCGCGGAACAGGCCCCAGCGGCGCCCGCGGCGCCGGCGGCGCCCGCGGAGCCAGCGGCCTCGCCGGCGGCGGCGGCGCCAGCGCCGCGCCCGGCGCCAGCGGCGCCTGCGGCGCCAGCAGCGTCGGCGGCGCCCGCGGCGCCAGGCGGCGGCGGCGCCCGCGGAGCCGACGGCGCCGCCGGCGCAGGGGCCGCCAGCGGCGCCGGCGGCGCCCGGCGGCCGCAGAGGCGGCCGCGGCGGCGGCGGCCGCGGCGGCCGCGGGGGCGGCAGCGCCGGCGGCACTAGCCGTAGCAGAAGGCGGCCCGCGGCGGGCCGCGCAGCCAGGCTGCCAGCAGGGGGCGGCGGCCTCGGCGGCGGCCGCGGCGGGCCGCGCGGCCGCGCTGTCAGCAGGGGCCGCGGCGGCGGCCGCGGCGGCGGCCCCGGCCGAGCAGCCGGCCGCCGCGGCGGGGGCGGCGCAGGCAGCAGCCAAGTGCAGCGGCAGGCCAGGCGGCGGCGCTGCGGCGGCCACGGCAGCCGCGCCGGCGGTGCCAGCACGGCGTGCGGCCGCCGCCCGCCGCTGCTGCCGCCGGCAAGCCGTGCGCGCCGACGGCGACATCAAAGCGGGGCTTGCGACACAGAGACCCACGGCCGCGCGAGGGCTCACCGTGGGGATCGTGCGAGAAGAAAGAAAGCCTGCTGCAGGCGCGCACGCCTCGGGCCAGCCCCATTGAGCCAGAGGGGGGCTTGAGCCAGAGGGGCTTGAGCCAGAGGGCTTGAGCCAGCTACGGATTCGTGGGGTTACGCGAAGCGTCTAGAATATGGCAACCCCCCACGCTCAGCCCATCGGACACGATGTACTTCGCATGCTTAATGGGTCGATTATGCTGCCACTGCGGATTCGTCCTCGTGCGAGTGCCATAAAAACGTCCACTAACACAACGCGCTGGCGAAGCACAGAGGAAGACGGGGAAACGTGAGCTGGAGGCAGCTGAAGAGATGATAAGCAGCATCGGAGGCGGCAGGATAAAAGGCAAAAAGCGGAGCAAGCCACCGAGAACGAGCAGGATGGAACGTATAGCTGATAGACCCGGAAAAAAATATCCCGGCAAAGCAACCTAACAGCGATGTGTAGAAGCATATATGAAAGCATTCCCCTTAAGATTCAGATGAAAATCCAGTTGTAGAATTCTGCTGTTCTCGCAGTCGTAGTCGCATTCGCGATGACAGTCGCAGCGGCAACGGCAGTCGCAGTCACAGCCTCAGCCTCAGCCTGCCTCAGCCTCAGCCTCAGCCTGCCTCAGCCTCAGCCTGCCTCAGCCTCAGCCTCAGCCTGCTTCAGCCTCAGCCTCAGTCTGCCTTCAGCCTCGGCCTCAGCCTCAGCCTGCCTCAGCCTCAGCCTGCATCAGCCTCAGCCTCAGCCTCAGCCTGCCTCAGCATCAGCCTGCTTCAGCCTCAGCCTCAGCCTGCCTCAGCCTCAGCCTCAGTCTGCTTCAGCCTCAGCCTCAGTCTGCCTTCAGCCTCGGCCTCAGCCTCAGCCTGCCTCAGCCTCAGCCTGCCTCGGCCGCAGCATCAGCCTGCCTCAGCATTCAAAATGTGGCCCAGGAATGGAGTTCTGGGAACTAGAAGAACACGAAGTGGCCTACAGTTGGCTCCGGGCATTCAAAATCATGCCCAGGAATAGAGTTCTGGGAACTTGAAGAACACGAAGTGGCCTACAGTTGGCTCCGGGCATCCAAAATGTGGCCCGGGAATGGAGTTCTGGGAAATCGAAGAGCACGAAGTGGCCTACAGTTGGCTCCGGGCATCCAAAATGTGGCCCGGGAATGGAGTTCTGGGAAGTCGAAGAGCACGAAGTGGCCTACAGTTGGCTCCGGGCATTCAAAATGTGGCCCGGGAATGGAGTTCTGGGAGGTCGAAGAGCACGAAGTGTGTGACTGTTTGCGAAAAACGAGTGCGGCGGCAGCCGCGGCGGCAGCCTGTCCGGGTCCCGCCCCGACCCCCCTGAGAAGTCATGATGCTCTCTTTTGAGACCACTGGAAACCTATCAGCAAGAGCTGTTAGGTAAAAGCGATTATCCCGGCAAAGCAACCTAACAGCGATGTGTAGAAGCATATATGAAAGCATTCCCCTTAAGATTCAGATGAAAATCCAGTTGTAGAATTCTGCTGTTCTCGCAGTCGTAGTCGCATTCGCGATGACAGTCGCAGCGGCAACGGCAGTCGCAGTCACAGCCTCAGCCTCAGCCTGCCTCAGCCTCAGCCTCAGCCTGCCTCAGCCTCAGCCTCAGCCTCAGCCTCAGCCTGCAGCCTCAGCCTCAGTCTGCCTTCAGCCTCGGCCTCAGCCTCAGCCTGCCTCAGCCTCAGCCTGCATCAGCCTCAGCCTCAGCCTCAGCCTGCCTCAGCATCAGCCTGCTTCAGCCTCAGCCTCAGCCTGCCTCAGCCTCAGCCTCAGTTTGCTTCAGCCTCAGCCTCAGTCTGCCTTCAGCCTCGGCCTCAGCCTCAGCCTGCCTCAGCCTCAGCCTGCCTCGGCCGCAGCATCAGCCTGCCTCAGCATTCAAAATGTGGCCCAGGAATGGAGTTCTGGGAACTAGAAGAACACGAAGTGGCCTACAGTTGGCTCCGGGCATTCAAAATCATGCCCAGGAATGGAGTTCTGGGAACTTGAAGAGCACGAAGTGGCCTACAGTTGGCTCCAGGCATACAAAATGTGGCCCGGGAATGGAGTTCTGGGGAATCGAAGAGCACGAAGTGGCCTACAGTTGGCTCCGGGCATTCAAAATGTGGCCCGGGAATGGAGTTCTGGGGAATCGAAAAGCACGAAGTGGCCTACAGTTGGCTCCGGGCATTCAAAATGTGGCCCGGGAATGGAGTTCTGGGGACTCGAAGAGCACGAAGTGGCCTACAGTTGGCTCCGGGCATTCAAAATGTGGCCCGGGAATGGAGTTCTGGGAAGTCGAAGAGCACGAAGTGGCCTACAGTTGGCTCCGGGCATTCAGAATGTGGCCCGGGAATGGAGTTCTGGGAGGTCGAAGAGCACGAAGTGTGCGACTGTTTGCTTAAAACGACTTCTGCGGCACCCTGTCCGGCACCCGCCCAGACCCCCCTGTGGAGTCATCTGCTGCTCTCTTTTGAGACTACTAGAAACCTATCAGTCTTCGCTGTTAGGTAATAATGCTGAAGCTGCGAAGCACATGGTGCCGACACACGACATGAACCATGCAACTAGGCAGGCGCGGTGCATCGGAGACGGAGTGCGTACTGACCAGTCGAAACAACCATGGCCTGCTCATCGATTGCCCCCATCGAGTTGTAAATGAAATAGGAAGACAACAGTATGCAGAGCGAGAAGATCTGCATGTCGCAACTTGCGGTCCTCGGCAATATGGACAACTCGGAAGATAGGAGGCAAATGAAAGATGAAGTAGCGGAGGGGGCGGGGCAATACCGTGAGTAGGGATAGGAGGATGACATAATTTCGCACCGAATGTGAGTGTACTGCCGCCCCCTTTCTCTGGCGGCTGGCGTTACAGGCCCTCCAGTGCAGCCGCAAGCAGACTCGCCGATCCTCCTCCGCCTCATCCACGAGGCGGGTAGCAAGGATGGCGCGCACCTCTCAGGTGTGATCGGAAAGAGCCCGTCGTCGGAACCTGCTCTCTCAAACAAAGATCACTGAATATCTGCCGACGGCGCTTCATGCTCCTGCCCTCCTCCTCCTCCTCCTCCTCCTCGTCCTCCTCCTCCTCCTCCTTCTCCTCCTCGTCCTCCTCCTTTTCTTTCTTAGACAAACAGGGAGGCGCGTGCCAGCGGCGTCACGGCCTCCTCCTCCTCCTCCTCCTCCTCCTCCTCCTCCTCCTCCTCCTCCTCCTCCTCCTCCTCCTGCTCGCCTGTGTTGCTGCTGCCTCTCATTAACCTACGCCATTTGGCTGCCTTGAGGAAGGGTGCGGAGAAGTGTGGGGGGGAGGAAGGAGCAGGAGGAGGTGGAGGCGGGGCGGAGGAGGCGGAGGGGAAAGAGAGGAGGATGAGGAATGGGAGGACCAGAGTAAGCCCAGGATGCATCAACGACACTGCAATACACCTCCCCGTCCCAAGTCCCATCCTCGGAAGTCCCTACAAGCCTTACGTTTCACCACAAGAAGCGCCCGCTGCAAAGGAGAGCACTCTGTGGGCATGCCCTTCAGGCGAGAGCCCCGCTTTGAAGAGAAACTGCCTTGCATCCTTCGAGCGATCCACATGGAGCGCGGAAAGGTGTAGGAGCCCAGAAAACCTGCTGACACCCGCTTGCGGGGACTGACAAGGCGTGCGAGACATCTAGCTGTCACCCATCCCCCTTTCCCCCTCCCCTAGGCTCCAAAAACCCGTTTAAGCCATCCCCACCCCCCGGGGCCCATGAGCTCGTCAACGCTTCTCCCAGGGCTTCCGGAGACCCCAGAAACCCCCAAGACGGCCCAAAAGGTCCCAAGCAGAGCGCCAAGATAGTCCAAGTGAATATCGAGCCGGGGCTGGAAGGCGGCCCACGATGCCCCGAAGAGGGCCCACAAGTGCTCCCCGAGAAACACCGAAGGGGACCCAAGAAGCGATCGTCACAATCCCTTTGGAAAACGTATATGTACCGCATACTCGCCTTTTCTTTTTGACAGGAGCCCCAAAGATCGTCCCGAGACGGCCCATGAGGCCCCCGAGACGGCCTCAAGACGGCCCAAAAGGGCCCCTAGACGGCCCCAGCGGCTCCCAAGACGGCCCGAAAGAGCGCCAAGATGGCCCTAAGAGCCGCCCAAGGGGGGAAACACGAATTAACATTTCGAGCCTGTCCTCTCAAGATGGCTCCAAGAGACCCCCGGAGGTCCCCGAGGCGCCTCCAAAAAAGTCCTTGGATGTCTCGACGAGGCCCCCGAGAAGCCCCCAGTGGGCCCTCCCCAAAAAGCCCGCCGGATTCCCCCACGAGCCCTCCAACAGGTCCAACCCGGGGGTCGGCGGAATGGCGCAGGCCACCGGAATGAACGGTGCACCCAATGAGAGCCCTGCTTTGGAAGGGAACCACCCCCATCCGTGTCACCAACCTGCCCGCCCACCGGGCTGAGCGCAGCATCAAACTCAAATCAACCTGTAGAGCTCCATGCAGGGCTGCAGCCCCGCGCTTTATAAAATCATCCCGGCAAAGCAACCTAACAGCGATGTGTAGAAGCATATCTGAAAGCATTCCCCTTAAGATTCAGATGAAAATCCAGTTGTAGAATTCTGCTGTTCTCGCAGTCGTAGTCGCATTCGCGATGACAGTCGCAGCGGCAACGGCAGTCGCAGTCACAGCCTCAGCCTCAGCCTGCCTCAGCCTCAGCCTCAGCCTGCCTCAGCCTCAGCCTGCCTCAGCCTCAGCCTCAGCCTGCTTCAGCCTCAGCCTCAGTCTGCCTTCAGCCTCGGCCTCAGCCTCAGCCTGCCTCAGCCTCAGCCTGCATCAGCCTCAGCCAGCCTCAGCCTCAGCCTCAGCCTGCCTCAGCCTCAGCCTCAGCCTGCTCCAGCCTCAGCCTCAGTCTGCCTTCAGCCTCGGCCTCAGCCTCAGCCTGCCTCAGCCTCAGCCTCAGCCTCAGCCTCAGCCTGCCTCAGCCTCAGCCTGCCTCAGCCTCAGCATCAGCCTGCCTCAGCATTCAAAATGTGGCCCGGGAATGGAGTTCTGGGAACTCGAAGAACACGAAGTGGCCTACAGTTGGCTCCGGGCATTCAAAATCATGCCCAGGAATGGAGTTCTGGGAACTCGAAGAGCACGAAGTGGCCTACAGTTGGCTCCGGGCATCCAAAATGTGGCCCGGGAATGGAGTTCTGGGAAGTCGAAGAGCACGAAGTGGCCTACAGTTGGCTCCGGGCATCCAAAATGTGGCCCGGGAATGGAGTTCTGGGAAGTCGAAGAGCACGAAGTGGCCTACAGTTGGCTCCGGCATCCAAAATGTGGCCCGGGAATGGAGTTCTAGCAGCGCCAAGAGCGATTTTGCGAGGATGTCCCAAGCGATTTGGGCTTCGGCGGCAGCCGCCCGGGTCCCGCCCCGACCCCCCTGTGGAGTCATCTGCTGCTCTCTTTTGAGACCACTAGAAACCTATCAGCAAGAGCTGTTAGGTAAATTCCCACCCAGAGAGACCCCCGCCCTTCCGCCGCCATGCTGCACCCCATCCCCTGTGCGGTCCCCAGAACGATCTCCAAACGGCGTCCAAGACGAGCTCGAAGTTCCCGACCAGCCATAACTGGGGAAGCTGTGGTCCTTACCCCTTACCCCCCTGAGGGAACCCATCGCCTCGACGATCTCTCGAGAGGGGTGTCGAAATCGATGGGTCCCCCAGGGGGGTAAGGACCACAGCTCCCCCAGTTGTGGCTGGCCTGATTTCAGACCGTTCTCAACAAGCATTCGGGCCAGATCTCGGCTCCATTTTGGCCCCGTCGGGACCCCTTCTTGATCTCCAGAACCGACACGCCCAACTTCGGCAATAACCTGGCACCTCCAAAAACATGTCAGACCCAAAGGTTTCTGATAATCTTGGCCTCCACGATGGTCGCCCGGACGCAGCTTCTACCTTTCTTTGGGGCTCCTCTGGAGCTTTTTCCAGCATGCAACGTTCGCCGGCGTTTCTGGACGAGCTCTGGGGCCAATCTTCGACGATTCTGGGCCCAACTTCGCCCCCAAAACGATGCCCAAACAGGCCTAGGTACCGGCATGTTCTCAATTAAAGGCTTGGGCCGTCCAGAAGCCCGCCGCGCTGCCTTGGGCCCATCTTCACCCCTTTCTGGCTCTTCTCGGGGCCCTCTTGGGCACTTCTTGGCCTCAAGTGGGCTGTCTTCAAGCCATCTTAGATTCATGTGGGGCGGGTCCTCGAACCGACGGAGGGTATTCGCCCAGCGGAATACGACAGAACAGCGCCAGCATCCCTGACACTCGCGACGGGGGCGACGAGTCGGCCGACACGCGGCACTCCTGGGACCACTCGACGATGAGATGGAGCGACTTCTCGGCCCTCTTCAAGCCCTTCGTTTCGCTCATTTGAAGGCCCCCTTGGGCCGCGCCCGAGAAATCTAGAGCCGTCTGAACTTTGTGTTCGGCCATCTTCAACACACCCGACAAGAACTGGAAAGGGCCAGCGGTGAACGCGAAGCGTTTCTAATAAATGATCCATTTCTGAAAAGGAACCGCCCAACGTCCGTGGCACTGCTCCACGAAAAGCACTTCTGGCCACTAAACTTGGAAGTCAAAAAAACGCCGACCCTGTCGGCGTGTGAAAGGGGCTTAACTGTTCGAGTCATCGTCTCCGTCAGCCGTCGTCTCCGTCGTCCCCTTTCCCTGCACCTTCCTCCTCAAGCTTGTCAGCGAGAGAAAAATCCGCCGACCCCTTGTGAGTCTCTAGGCGTGTGAGATTCTCTCCCCCCCATAATCCTCCCCCTGGGACCCCAAACCAGAAATCTGACCCCCCCCCTTAGGCCGCGCATGACCCCCGGCTGAACTCACCAGGGAGGGTCTGGCCCTCCCCAGGCTCGCTTGGGAGCTCCAAGACAAGCCCTGGGGCGTTCCAACAGGTCCCCAACACGGGCCCACAGGGCCCATCGTCGCCGAAAAGTCGTTCCAAGACGCCCACAATAACCCCCAGACGGCCCAAAATGGCCTCCAGAGGTCTTCCAAGAGGGCCCCCAGAAACAAAAATCGCCCTATTCCCGACGGAAAGCGTATATTTCAAGCACATCCGCTCTTGGGTGTTCGGTACGCCCAAGACGGCCCAAAGGGCCTCCAAGAGGGTTCCAAGACGGCCCAAGAAGGCCCCTAGACTACTAAAAAGAAAGCCCAGACGGCCCAAGAGGCCCCAGGACGGCCCCAAAAAAGAGCCCAGAGGGGAACCAGCACGGAAATTTCCAGCCTTCCGCTCCAAGACGCCCCCAGGTTGCCCCAAAGAAACCCCCAAGAAGCCCCAACAAGGCCCCAAAACGCCCCCAACAGCCCCCCAGGAGCCCCCCAAGAAGCCCAACAAGTGCTTCCAACACGGTCGTGGAATGCAGTCTTGGACGCGCAGTAGTTTATAGAGGGGTCGGCGGATGTGGCGTAAGCCTATAGAATCTAGCACTGTCTAGCAATGTCGCTATCGAGTCGAAGGGAAGCACCTTCCTTTTGATCCCTCCCCTGCCGGGAAGGAGAGTCGCGAGGGGGGTCCCAGGGAGGGGTCCCAGGTCAGATACGCATCCCCCCCTGGGGGTCCCGGGGCCTCAGACAGTACCAAGACAGGCCAAGAGTGCCCCAAGAGGCCCCCGAGACGGTCCAAGAGGGCTCCCAATCGGCAAACGATCAGTCCAAAACGTCTTCACGCCCTCCAGACTGCAGGACGCCCCAAGAAGCCTCCAAGAGCACTCCCGAGGAGGCCCCAGTAGGCCAAATTCATTGATTTCCCACCGGTACTTTTTTAAGATTTGGGCATTCTCGTCATTAAATTCCCGCCGCTCCAAGACGACGCAAGAGGCCGCCCCCAAGATCGCCTCAAGACGGCCCAAGAGGCCTCCAAAAGGGCCCCAAAACAGCCCAAGAGAACCCCAAGACAGCCCAAAACGCCTCCATGACGGCCCAAGAGGCCCCCAAGACGGCCCCTATACTTTGAAGTGGCGCAGGCTCTGAAAAACGAGCGTGTCTGGCGCGAATGCGAGTCCCATTTTGAAAACCAACTGCCCTCCATCCTTGCAAGTGTTGCAAGCGTTCAAGACGAATACGCGCGGCGCTCATGCGAGAGCCCCGTTTTGAAAAGGAAACGCCCTATGGGCCGTCCATCCAATACGAATGCGCTGCACGCTGATGCGAGAGCCCCATTTTGAAAACCGCCCCTGCGGCCCTGTAGCTATTGCGAGCCCTCAGGGCGAATGCGCGCAGCGCTAAAGCGAGAACCCCCATTTTCAAAACCACCACCCCTCCCGTCCTTGTGACTGTTGCACGCTTGTAAACAGAAGGCGTGCAACGCTAAAGCGAGAACCCCGTTTTCAGACAGCCCCCCTCCGTCCGTGCACCTGTTGCACATTGCAGGCCTCGGGGTCGTAAATGAGGCAGATATGTCAGGTGAAACGCCTGGCCTGCCCTGCCGACACGCCTGGGGGGGGGCGACAGGGATGAGACATCTATACATCTAAGGATAAAGGGGTGGAGGAGGGGCCAGGGCAGCAAGAAAGGGAGAAGGAGGGCGGGGGAAGGCGGAGGGCGAGGGCAAGGAGGAGAAGCAAGAGCAGCGGCGGGTGAGGAGGAGGGGGACGAGAAGGCTGACGACAACGACGGCAACGACGGCGGCGGCGACGACGACGGCGTCGACGACAGCGACGCCGACAGCAATACGGCGGCGACGACGACGACGACGACGACGACGACGACGACGACGACGACGACGACGACGACGACGACGACGGCGGCGGCGGCGGCGGCGACGGCGGCGACCGCGCGCACCGCTCCTCTGCGTCGAGCCGAGCCCCTCCGTGTCTATTAGGATGCAGTGGTAGTCGGCCGCAAGCTGAACGGGCTGGCCCCAGATCCAGAGGCCCTGGCCGCGGGCCGTCGCCGCCGCCGTCGTCGTCGTCGTTGTCCCCCTCCTCCCCCTCCTCCTCCCCCTCCTCCTCCCCCCTCCTCCTCCTCCCTCCTCCTCCTCCTCCTCCTCCTCCTCCTCCTCCTCCTCCTCCTCCTCCCCCTCCTCCTCCTCCTCCCCCCCCTCCTCCTCCTCCTCCTCCTCCTCCTCCCTCCTCCTCCTCCTCCTCCTCCTCCTCCTCCGCCTCCCCCTCCTCCTCCTCCTCCTCCTCCTCCTCCTCCTCCTCCTCCTCCTCCTCCGCCTCCTCCTCCTCCTCCCCTCCTCCTCCTCCGCCTCCGCCTCCTCCTCCTCGTCCGCCTCCTCCTCCTCCTTCTCCTCCTCCTCCTCCTCCTCCCCCTCCTCCTCCGCCTCCTCCTCCTCCTCCGCCTTCTCCTCCTCCTCTTCCTCCTCCTACTCCTCCTTCTCCTCTGCCTCCTCCTCATCCTCATCCTCCTCCTCCGCCTCCGCCTCCGCCTCCGCCTCCTCCTCCTCCTCCTCCTCCTCCTCTTCCTCCTCCTCCGCCTCCGCCTCCGCCTCCGCCTCCGCCTCCGCCTCCGCCTCCTCCGCCTCCGCCTGCGCCTCCGTCTCCTCATCATCCTCTTAGTATTGGTATTAGTTGTCCCGTTATGATTCGCATAATTAGTATAAGTATTAGTAGTAATAGTGGTATTCCTTTGATTAGTCTCAGTATTACTAGTAGTAGTACTAGTATTAGCCTTCGCTTTCTTATTATTATGGTTGCTATTATTATTCTCCTTAACAATATTATTCGTATTCTTAGTATTAGTATTACTGTTCGTCTTCCTGCTAGTATTCTTATTCGTCTTAGTAGCATTATTATGAGTAGTATGTGTAGTCTGTTTCGTACGTGTCGTATTATTATGAGTATTAATAATAATACTCGTAGTATTATTATGCTACTGCGTAGCATCTGTATTATTATTCTACTTCGCAACATGATTCGTATTAGTACGCGTAGTCTTCTACCAAAGATTAGTACGATTGTTCGTCGTCGTATTCTTATTAGTCTTATTCGTACTGTTATTACGTTTCTTCTTCGCATTCTTATTATTATGAGTCCTCCTCCTCCTCCGCCTCCTCCTCATCATCATCATCCGCCTACGCCTTCTCCTCCGCCTGCTCCTCCTCCTCCTCCTCATCTTCCTCCTCCTCCTCTTCTTCCTCCTCCTCTCCTTCGTTTTCTTCTTATTATTCGTATGTTTCTCCTTCTTCATCTTCCTCCTCACCTTCCTCATCCTCCTCCTCCTCTTCTGCCTCCTCCCCCTCGTGTACGTATTTGTCGTATTACTAATATGTTTATTCTTCCTCCTCCTCCTCCTCCTCCCTCTCCTCCTCCTCCTCCTCCTCCTCCTCCTCCCGCCTCCTCCTCCTCCTCCTCCTCCTCCGCCTCCTCCTCCTCCCCCTCCTCCTCCTCCCCCTCCTCCTCCTCCTCCTCCTTCTCCTCCTGCTCATTCGAAGCCAAGTGCTACTCGCGGGCAATCGACGAGCAAGCCTCACACTGCGTGCGGTGAGACGAATCTCGCGATGAGAGTGTCGAGATTGAGAAGATCCACGGGTACGACCCAGCGAAAGCAGGGCAGCCAGGCCGGCCGGCAGGGACACTGAGAGCAGGGCAGCCCAACAGTAGTAGAGCGATGCAGCGAACTGCGGGCGTGCAGGGCCGCTGGCCATGGAGAGGCGACAGGACTCAAGATCTTGATGGAGTTACTTACAGGAAAATGTACAGTGCAAACACACACACACACACCATGTGTGAGACTCGAACGTACTTCAAGCTGCTTAATAAACGTGGTGTGGATCGCGTGGAGATGTAGGAATGGGAGGTCCTTCGCAGGGGGTGAGAGTGTTAGACTGCGCTGGAGGTTTTCGGCGCCCGCGGGGGGGGGTCTGGAACAGGCTGTCGGGCGGGGTGGAATCGAAGGGGGGGGCCTATTGGACAACGCGAAATACGCGTTCAGGCTTGCTTGGAAGATGCCAACCATGTACCAAGCAAGTTCCACGTACGCTTCCGCGCATGCTGGCACGCACGGTGGCGCGGCGCATCGAACTGGTCTGGCACCCGGCTGGCTTCGCCCGACTTGCACAGAGGAGCAACACCGGCACCACCAGAAACTTTCGGCGGTCCGCGCGGAGTGCTCGGGTCGGCGCTGGACCCCCATTCTCGGGCGCGCGGAGCGCGCCAGGGGCCAGCGCTGGAGGCGCTGCCAGGGGGGGTCCAGCGCCGATCCAAAAAAAAACCTGCGTGGACCTCCGAGAGCTTCTGCCTATGGCGTGTTGTCCTGTTCTGTGCCTGGGGCCTGTGAGCTGTGTCCACGGGTTTTGAGGCACAAATCACGGCCAAAACAAAGATGCACGCACGCGCCAGGGAGGGCGGCCCAGTGCCGACCAAAGAGATTCGCGCGGGCCTCCGCAGGGTTGCGTTCACGCAGTCTGGTCACGGAACCCAAACGGGACGTGCTCGCCCAGCCACGCACCGCGCACATGAATTTGTCCCCCAGCTCGCGAGGCCGCCCTCATGTCACGAACGCTCGCGTAGTGCCCACCATCGAAACTCATGCAAATCCATGTACGCGTGCGTCGTTGTCTCGATCCTGATTATGTTTCCGCCTGCTACGTGCTAGCGCAAGATCCGCACACACGTTACCCGCCAGCAGTACTACATCAACAACTCACAAGCCTGAATATCGGGAGCCCCCACTCCAATGCCATAAGTTCTGCAGAACAGGATGATGTTACTCGATGAAGTGGCTTACCAGTCAGTGAGAGCTTGTGCCTCCCCTGCCAGTATGCAATCAGCGCAATTCCCATGGACACCGAGTTTCGATCCGAATTTGTTCGCCAAAAGTAGAGGCGGCCAGGGGAACTGAACTGCTTGGGGCCCCAGAAAATCGGCCAGGAAAGGGGAAGAGGCCAAATCCGCTCAACATCGGTCCCCAGGCCCCTCCCGGGCGGGGTCCATCTGGTGCAATATTTCACGCCAGATCCGGGTTCTACGGTCCCGGGACCAGAACACGGCCCCCAGAGGCCGAAAAAGACAAATTCATAGTATCCTAGCGAAGGACCCAACCATGTTCAGTTGTGAGTACCGTCGTTGCGGGCCTTCGGGGGATCTCCTCATGGGGCCATGAAGCATGCGAAGGGTGTGCCGATGTGGGGCGGGGCCGCCATGTGGGCGCTGCCTCTGGTGCTTTAAGCAGATCGCTCTACGGGGCCGCGGAAAGTGTGAGGGGTGCGCCGCAGTGAGGTGGGGCCGCCAGAAGGGGCCTTCGGTGGAGCTCTCTATGGGGCAACGAAACATTGTAATGGGCGGGGGAAACGCATGCGAGTACAGCCACTGGGGCCTTCAGTGCAGCTCCTCATGGGGCCACGAAACTGAACTGGGTGGGGGAACCGCATGCGACTGGCGACTTCGGTGCAGCTTCCTGTGAGGCTACGAAACGTGTGAGGGGTGAGCCAGAATGGGCGTGCGTGACGCATGCGGGAGGTGGCACTGGGGCCTTCGGTGGAGCTCCCTATGGGGGCACGAAACGTGTGAGGGGTGTGCCGAATTGGGTGTACGTGACGCAAACGGGCGGTGGCATTGGAGCCTTCGGTAGAGCTCCCTGTGGAGCCACGAAACGTGTGAGGTGTGCCGAAATGGGTGTGCGTGACGCATGCGGGCGGTGGCACTGGGGCCTTCGGTGGAGCTCCCTATGGGGCCAAGGAACGTGTGAGGGGTGTGCTGAAACGGGTGTACGTAACGCATGCGGGCGGGGGCACTGGGGCCTTCGGTGGAGCTCCCTGTGGGGACACGAAATGTGTGAGGGGTATGCCCAAATGGGTGAGCGTGACGCATGCAGGCGGTGGCGCTGGGGCCTTCGGTGGAGCTCCCAGCGGGGCCACGAAACGTGTGAAGGGTGTGCCGAGCTGAGTGTGGGTGACGCATGCGGGCGGTGGCACTGGTGCCTTCGGTGGAGCTCCGTGTGGGGCCACGAAATGTGTGAGGGGTGTGCCGAATTTGGTGAGCGTGACGCATGTGGGCGGTGGCACTGGGGCCTTCGGTGGAGCTCCCTGTGAGCCACGAAACGTGTGAGAGGTGTGCCGAAATGGGTGTGCCGTCTCCTCAAAGCGAGAACCCAACACCACAGGATGGTTGGGAAAAACTAGCCTGGCGAAGGGCCCAACCATATGCAGTTGTGAGCACCGTCGTTGTATGCACCGGATTCGGAAGAGCTCCCTTTAGGGCCACGACACGTGTGAGGGGTGTGCCAAAATTTGTCTGGTGGGCGCATGCGCAAGCAATCACTGGGGCCGTCGGTGAAGCTCCCTATGGGGCCACGACACGCGTCAGAGGCGTGTCGAAATAGGTTCGGTGGGCGCATGCGAACGCAGCCACTGGGGCCGTCGGTGGAGCTCCCAATGCGGCCGCAAAACGTGTGATGGTTGTGCCGAAATGGGTGCGGTGGGCGCATGCGAACGCAGCCACTGGCGCCTTCGGTGGAGCTCCCTGTTGGGCGACGAAACGCGTGAGGAGTGTGCCGCAATGGGTGTGGGTGACGCATGCGGGCGGTGGCACTGGGGCCTTCGGTGGAGCTCCCTGTGGAGCCACGAAACGTGTGAAGGGTGTGCCGAAATGGGTGTGGGTGACGCATGCGGGCGGTGGCACTGGCGCCTTCGGTGGAGCTCCGTGTGGGACCACGAAACGTGTGAGGGGTGTGCCGAGCTGAGTGTGGGTGACGCATGCGGGCGGTAGCACTGGGGCCTTCGGTGGAGCTGCCCATTGGGCCACGAAACGTGCGAGGGGTGTGCCGAAGTGGGTGTGCGTGACGCATGCGGGCGGTGGCACTGGGGCCTTCGGTAGAGCTCCCCATGGGGCCACGAAACGTGTGAGGGGTGTGCCGAAATGGGTGTGCGTGACGCATGCGGGCGGTGGCACTGGGGCCTTCGGTGCAGCACCCTATGGGGCCACGCAACGTGTGAGGGGTGTGCCGAAATGGGTGTGCGTGACGCATGCGGGCGGTGGCGCTGGGGCCTTCGGTGGAGCACCCTATGGGGCCACGAAGCGTGTGAGGAGTGTGCCGAAAGGTGGGTGACGCATGCGGGCGGTGGAGGGGGGGGGCGAGGAGGAGTGAGGGACGCGGGGCGCTGTCTCTTCAAAACGAGGACCCAACACCACAGGATCGTTGGACAAAACGACCCAAGAACTTCGAACCTCGTCCCCCCCCCCTCCCTGCTCGCCAGAACCAGTGCTGGGCCACCTCAGACCCCCAGCTGGCTCCAATCCCAAAACTTGCAGACCCAACTCGCAAATCGCAGACAAAAGACCGGCGCAGCCGCCAGCGCTGCACGGGAAGCCCGGCGAGAAAGGCACGCGCGAGCAGAGGCTCGAGCGGGCAGCAGCGGGCGCTGCCTTGGTGCACGGGTTCACGGTGGGCCCGATGTCGAAGCCCTCCTCGGCGACGACGACGACGACGACGACGACGACGACGACGACGACAACGACGACGACGACGACGACGACGACAAGGACGGCGACGACGACGACGACGACGACGACGACGACGACGACGACGACGACGACGACGACGACGACGACTGCGTTCGGGGGGCGGCGGCGAAACGCGTCGATTCTGGTTTCGTGAGAACCAACCCCTAACCAAATTATCCTGGCGAAGAGCCCAACCATGTGCAGTTGCGGGTACCGCAATTGTGAATATCTTCTTCGGTGGGGCAACGAAGCGCTGCACTGGGTGAGGGAGGAACGCATGCGGGCGGTAGCGCTGGGGCCGTCGGTGGAGCTCCCTATGGGGCCGCGAACGGCTATATTGGGTGGGTGAAATTGCCAAATTGGGCTTCCGGGGCGCATGCGGAGGTCCCACTGGGGGCTTCGGTGGAGCTCCTTATGGGGCCACGAAACGCTGTGCTGGGTGGGTGAAAATTCCAAATTGGGCTTCCGAGACGCATGCGGGCGGTCCCACTTGGGTCTTCCGTGGAACTTCCTATGGGGCCGCGAAGCGTTGTAATGGGTGGGTGAAAATGCAAAATTAAGTTTCCGGGACGCATGGGGGCAGTCCCACTGGGGGCTTCGGTGGAGCTCCCTATGGGGCCACGCAGGGTGAAAATGCCGAATTGGGCTTCGGGGACGCATGCGGGCGGTAGCGCTGGGGCCGTCGGTGGAGCTCCCCATGGGGCCGCGAAACGCTGTATTGGGTGCGCGAAAATGCCAAATTCGGTTTCCGAGACGCTTGCGGGCGGTCCCACTGGGGGCTTCGGTGGAGCTCCCTATGGGGCCAAGCGCTGTACTGGGCGGGTGAAGATGCCGAATTGGGCTTCCGAGACGCATGCGGGCGGTCCCACTTGGGGCTTCGGTGAAGCTCCGAAGCGCTGTACTGGGTGGGTGAAAATGCCAAATTGGGTTTCCAGGACACATGCGGGCGGTCCCACTGGGGGCTTCGGTGGAGCTCCCTATGGGGCCACGCAGGGTGAAAATGCCAAATTGGGTTTCCGGGACGCATGCGGGCGTTAGCGCTGGGGCCTTCGGTGGAGCTCCCTATGGGGCCACGAAACGCTGTACTGGGCAGGAGAAAATGCCAAATTGGGTTTCGGGGACGCATGCGGGCGGTCCCACTGGGGGCTTCGGTGGAGCTCCCCATGAGGCCACGAAACGCTGTACTGAGTTGGTGAAAATGCCAAATTGGGTTTCCAGGACACATGCGGGCGGTCCCACTGGGGGCTTCGGTGGAGCTCCATATGGGGCCACGAAGCGCTGTGCTGGGTGGGTGGAAATTCCAAATTGGGCTCCCGAGACGCATGCGGGCGGTCCCACTGGGGGCTTCGGTGGAGCTCCCTATGGGGTCACGAAGCGCTGTACCGGGTGGGTGAAACGCAGGGAGGGAGGAGGGGGGAGGGGGAGGAAAGAAGAAGGAACGCGGAGAACTCTTCAAAACGACGACCCAACACTCACAACGGGCGGCGCCACTGGATCCTTCGGTGGAACCGGCCACGAGGTGTGCCGCAATGGGTGTGCGTGACGCATGCGGGCTGCGCCACTGGGGCGGTCGGCGGAGCTCCCTACGGGGCCACGAAGCGTGTGAGGCGTGTGCAGAAACGGATGGGCGTGACGCATGCGGGCTGCGCCACTGGGACGTTCGGCGGAAATCCCTACGGGGCCACGAAACGTGTGAAGAGCGTGCCGAAGTGGGTGTGCGTGACGCATGCGGGCTGCGCCACTGGGACATCGGGTGGAGCCCCCTACGGGGCCACGAAAAGTGTGAGGGGTGTGCTGCAATGGATGTGCGTGACGCATGCTGGCTGCGCCACTGGGACCTTCGGCGGAGCTCCCTACGGGGCCACGAAACGTGTGAGGGGTGTGCCGAAATGGGTGTGCGTGACGCATGCGGGCTGCGCCACTGGGACCTTCGGCGGAGCTCCCTATGGGGCAAAAAAACGTGTGAGGGCTGTGCCCTACTGGGCGGACGCGACGCATGCGGGCTGCGCCACTGGGACCTTCGGCGGAGCTCCCTACGGGATCACGAAACGTGTGAGGAGAGTGCCGAAGCGGGTGGGCGTGACGCATGCGGGCTGCGCACTGGGGCCTTCGGTGGAGCTCCCTATGGAGCCACGAACGTGTGAGGGGTGTGCCGAAATGGGTGTGGCTGATGCATGTGGGCGCGGGCACTGGGGCCTTCGGTGGAGCTCCCTATGGAGCCACGAAACGTGTGAGGGGTGTGCCGAATGGGGTGTGGGTGACGCATGCGGCCGCGGGCACTGGGGCCTTCGGTGGAGCTCCCTATGGAGCCTCGAAACGTGTGAGGGGTGTGCCGAAATGGGTGAGCGTGACGCATGCGGGCCTGCGTTACTTGGTGCCTTCGGCGGAGTTTCCCTATGGGGCCCGAAAGAAAAAAAAACCGTGTGAGGGGTTTGCCGAAGTGGGGTGGTGGGCGTGACGCCAACGCGGGCTTGCGCACAGGGGCGGTCGACGATCTCCTACGGGGCCCCGAACGTGTGTGTGTGAGGGGTGTTGTCGAAATGGTGAGCGTGACACATGCTGGCTGCGCCACTGGTGCCCTGGTGCATTCGGCGGAGATCCCTAACGTGTGACGGCTGTGGTGAGGGTTGCCGAAATGGGTTGGTGCTTGACGCAATGCGGGATAGCGCCCTGGGACCTTCGGCGGAGGCGGGGGGGGAAGAGCACCACTAAACGTGTGAGGGGTGTGCCGCACTGGGCGTACGTGACGCATGCGGGCTGCGCCACTGGGACCTTCGGCGGAGCTCCCTACGGGGCCGCGAAACGTGTGAGGGGTGTGCCAAAGTGGGTGTGCGTGACGCATGCGGGCTGCGCCACTGGGACCTTCGGCGGAGCTTCCTACGGGGCCACGAAGCGTGTGAGGGGTGTGATGCAATGGGCGTGCGTGACGCATGCGGGCTGCGCCACTGGGACCTTCGGCGGATCTCCCTGCGAGGCCACGAAACGTGTGAGGGGTGTGCCGAAACGGGCGTGCGTGACGCATGCGGGCTGCGCCAGTGGGACCTTCGGCGGAGCTCCCTATGGGGCCACGAAACGTGTGAGGGGTGTGCCGAAGTGGGCGTGCGTGACGCATGCGGGCTGCGCCACTGGGACCTTCGGCGGAGCTCCCTACGGGGCCACAATCATCTTGAGGGATGCACCGACGATGATGATGAGCAGGAGGATGATTATGATGCTGACGGTAATGATGATGGCGTCGATAACGACGATGATGACGACGATAATGGTGATGATGACGAGGACGATGCTGATTGCGATATCGAAGATGATGATGATGATGGTGGTGATGATGATGGTGATGATGATGATGATGATGCTGATAATGATGATGATGATGATGATGATGATGATGATGGTGGTGGTGGTGATGACGATGATGGCGATGGTGATGGTGATGGTGATGATGACGAGGAGGAGGATGGTGATGGTGATGATGGTGATGATGGTGATGCTGGTGATGATGATGACGATGATAGTTTTGATGATGATGAGGAGGCTCGGCTCGGCTCGGAACCCTTGGGCGCGGCAGGACGGAGGTCACGCGGCTGTCTCGCACCTGGGCGTCGCTTCGCGACAATCGAAAGAGGACTGGTCAATTGTTGTGGCCACCATGGCCTGTCGGGCGCCGCCCGCACGGCCCCAGGGAGCGGCCCGCCGATTGGCGCGCAGCCAGGCGGGTGCCCCCCGCACGGGGACCAGCTCGCGGATCCGTCACACCCGACCCACCCTCCAACGTCCCGCCCGTCCCATCCGCGAGCCGTTCCCCGTGGGTACTACTGTTGCTGGCCCACTCCGCCCTGACCTCCCTCGAGGAGATAAACTCCCTCGCAGGGGGTCGGGATGCACTATCCGAGACACGCCTTAAAACATTTGGTACAGGGGCGGCAGGCACAGGCTGGCTCGGGACGGCGGCACTCCCACCTCCCGTTCCGCTCCTTCTACGTGCACGGCGAGTCGGACTCAACACTTGGACGACAGATGTGGGCAAAAACGGTGATGCGTACACCGTCGCCACTCTCGTGGCGGACAAAACTGCAGGGCTGACAATTCCCCTGGCAATCAATGATGCGAGCCTCTCACTGCTGGCCATCAAAGCTGATTGAGAGCCTGGAGCAGGTTGCCTGCCTCTCGCTCCGAGGGGCCCCTCGGCGCTGGCCCGTGCACCGCCTCCGCCTTCTCCACCTTCGAGAGGTAGTCCACTAGGATCGGGTACAACGAGGATGTCGAGGCAGCCCTTGCGAATCCGAGCCGCGAGGGCCCGTCCTCCAGCACCAGGTGGCGACCCCCACGTTCGGACAACGTGACAGTCACGGAATCTCTCCCCCAGCGCGATGGCGCACCCCGCGCTGTGGTTGGTGTACGCCCCCTCGGTGTACGGCGCCTCCAGCGCTAGCCGTCCTTCGCATCGTCGGCGGAGCACTCCCTCTCCTCCAGCGTGGCACTGCACCTTGGTACCCGCGAGGAGGAGCACGTCCGCAGCCCGACAGCCGATCAGCAGCTCCGCGAGCCGAGCTCCGACGGCGTGGAGCGGGTTGAACGCCAGGAGGCGGAGGGTCGACCTCAGCACTGGCGCCATGGCGGCTCGCGCAGGTCCTGTGGGAGGGCGACCTGCATCAACTCTGCCTCGGTGTGAGGTGCCCCCAGTTCCTCCAAACAGGCCAGAACCGGAGGGGCTGATGATGATGATGAGGAGGAGGAGGAGGATGAGAAGAGGAGGGAGGAGAGGAGGGGAGTGACGCGGGGCGCTGTCTCTGCAAAACGAAGACCCAACACCACAGGATGGTTGGGGAAAAATACTACTTCCCATGCTGGACACGAATTGGCAGCTCTGTGCCGTTATCTTGTTAATTATGAGCCACGCCTATATCGCAGAGCGTGAGGGGGACTGGGCAAAGGCATGTCACTCCTTGACAAAAAGCCCTGCCTC